GCACTGTGTATCCAGCGTTGTCCACAGTAGTGCTATGAGTCAGTGAGGGACGTCGTGTCTCGCAGTGGGACTGGCCCTATGATCCTCTCTGTGCATTGGCTGCTCTGAGCAGGAATATCAACCTTGGGGCTTGGTGGGCCAGGATGTGCTCCACTCTCTCTCCTTCCCTCTTCATTTGCTGAGTTACCAAACATGTTAACCTGCACCGATGATGCATCAGTCTTGGTGAGGCCTCCTGAGCAAGTGAATTTCGGTGTCAATGCCCTGTAATCAATAGCATTTTCACTGGCTACTGTTTGGAAGTAGAGCTGCAGGCCTTTCTTCCCAGTTTCAGTGTCTTGGAGCCTCTGCTGAAACCTGTCCACCATGGGTGACCCTGTTGGTCTTTGAAATTCTAGTGGCCTGGTTTCTTCTGGCATCACAGCAACCTGCAAGCCATCACTGTGCAACAGACTGACAGCCGAGTGGTGGCTCTAAAACACAAAACCCACTGCTGTCAATTCGATGCCAACGCATCTCAACAGGCTACGACAGGGGAGAGCTGTTCCCGTGGGTTTCTGAGACTAGTGAGCTTTATGGAAGCAGACAACCTCATCTCTCTCCTACAGAGCAATGGGTGGGTTTGAACCACCGACCTTGTGGTTAGCAGCCCAACAACGCATTACCACGACACTAGGGCTTACGTCACAACATTCTCACAGTAATTTGTGAATGAAATTTTAGTCACTTTAGAAAAGGGGAAACTGGAATGCAAAGAGTTAAGTAACCTATGCAAGATCTGGATTCAAACCCAAGTCTTGCCTGTGCAACTTGATTACGAAAGTGAGGATATTTTCTGCTCTTGAGCCGATTCCAATTTCTGGCGAGCCTTGAGGCCAGAACAGAACTGCCCCTGGAGAGTCTCCAAGACAAACTCCCTATAGGACTAGATAGCCTCATCTTTCTCCCTAGGAGCAGGGGATGGTTTTGAACTGCCGACCTTGCAGTTAGCCCCGCAAAGTGTAACCACTGAGCCACCAGGGCTCCTTGAAGCGATGCTGAGGAATGTAAGTTCACCTGACCTTCATTTTCAAGGGTAAGAGCCATGCTGCCTGGGGGCTGGGGTGGATTGGGAGGAAGGATGATGGCATGAAATCAACAGCAGGCATTTATTCACAAGAGACAAGAACCGTTTTAATTACAGTCTGGGGAAATTGCTCTCGAGCGCATTTCCATTTTAATATAAAACTGAAGAGTGTACAAATACATTCTATGAAGGAAAGGAGAAAATGATTCGGAAACTATTTTCAGGAAAGAACCAAAACGCCGGCGGGGAAATCGAGGCCAGTCTTGGAGGGAGGGGAGCTGCGTGTGCACACAGCTTTGTGAGGCCGTGGGAGGCTCCAGGTGGGCCGAGCTGCTTCACGAGGCAAAGGGGTACCTCCACCTCAGGATGGCTCCATCCGCACTCACACTGATGATGTACTTGTTGCCGGGACTTATCCGGATGCGCGTGATGTTGCCGCTGTGTCCCACCCCGACGTGGGTCACTTCACCCTCATTATAATCCCAAATTTTGACCAGATGGTCATTTCCACCTGAAGAAGACAAAACAGTTATGTGACAATGCCCCAAGAGTGTCTGGACAGAAAGAAAGAGTCCTGGTGTCAAAGAACTGAGCTGTTTTCTAAACCGTTGTCTTCATGGACCAACTGAAAGGAAAATCCACGTTCACAGTAACTCTTTCCCCTGGTTATGAAAAACCCTGTGCCCGTGAGAGTAGGAGGCGCCCTGGTGGTGTATATGCATCAGGCATCCACCCACATGGTTAGCAGTTCGAAACCACCGACTCCTCATAGGGAAAGAGCTGAAGTTTCTGCTCCCATGAACAGGCCTAGCCTCGGACACCCCCAGAGGCAGTTCTCCTCCGTCTGATAAGGTGCTAAGTGTCGGAATCAACTAGAAGACAGAGGGTGTGAGTTTGAGTATTATAGTACATTTGGGGGGAAAGTAAAGAAGTGGTATCACCCTTCCTTAATCACACACACACACACACACACACACACACACACACACACACACACAATCATGTCAATTCTGACTCATAGGGCCCTCAGACTTGACTCTATCGCTTAATCACAGCTCCCGGCAAAACCACTACAGTGAACCCTCGCCACTTCGCGCTTCGACTTCCGCAGCTTCACTCTATCGCGGTTTTTGCGTAACAGCGCATGCTCTGTCATTACTGCCACTGATTGGCTCATACTGTACACGCTTGATGCCATAAATAATATAATAAATAATAAATGATCATTGTAACGTCCAAAATGTTTTACTGTATTTTCCCATTTTCGTTTAATAAATTGGGTAATACGAATGTAATGGTGACTAGAGGGTGTTTTTTCATGTCCTCTATGCTCTAACTACGAAAATATTTGATTTACAAATAAGGAATCCTACTTCACGGAATTTCATTTATCACGGTAGGGTCTAGAACAGATTAACCGCGATAAACGAGGGTTCACTGTATTAGCTTTTTGGTTTCCTTGCTTCCCATCTTTTGTCTACAAGGGCTGTGGGCCACTGAGTGGTGGCAACTCCTGACAGCCCTCTAGGACCGAGTGGAACTACCCCCCATAGGCTTGGTTCTGTTATAAGCTTGAGCAGTGCAGGCGGCCCAATCCTTTCTCCCGTGTACCTCGTGGGGTCGAACTGCCAACCTTACAGTTAGTGGCTGAGCACTTAACCATTGCGCCAGCAGGGTTTATTTCTAGAAGAGTGTCTAACTGGGATGACCCTCCGTGTTGGTGGATATCTTGCTTGAAGGTCGTGGGTATGTGAAGCTTTCCTTCATCGGGAGCATGTGTTTGTTAGTTTCCTGAAAAATCCCTGAACCTGGCAAGAAACAATGTTGCTATGAATCCAATAGGCCTGCTTTGTGAAACTCTCGCTGGTGGCACGGTGGATTGCACCTTAGGCTACTAACCCGAGGGTCAGCAGTTTGAGCCCAGCAGCCAATCGGAGGGAGAAAAATGGAGTTTTCGGTTTCCTGGAAGATTTACAAACCTTGGAAACCCGCAGGGGCAGTTCTACTGTAGGGCCCTTCTACTCCGCCCTCTGGGCCATTTAAAGTCCCCTTTGGGTCATCAGTGACCACCCGTGTAAGGTTGGCCTTCTAACTGCGTCCCTAGGCCTCCTGGGCGCACGTTTCGTTTCTGGTCACGTTGGTCACCAACCCTCAAGCTTGAATCTCACCTGGCCTTTTGCAGGGAGCATCCCCGTCCTGTTCCCACCTCAAAAGGCCAAGCTACATGTGCTTTTCTTGCCGGCAGGACTAACCTGTAACAAAGTGCACTCCTTCCACTGTAATGTCCATGCCATTTACTGAGCCGGACAAGGATCCTTCCAACTCTCTGATTACGGACCCGTCAAATACTTCCCAGTAAGCAATCTGGAATTCAGGAAAGCAGTGTGAGGCAGAAAGGATGCAGCTCAGTGGGATCATCCACACACATACCCCCACCACCACCCCCATCACCCCCACCCACCACCAAAGGCTCTCCTTTATATAGAAGGTAGTCAAAAATACCCCGGGGATGGGTTTGAGGGTTAAGACCAGCTCAAATTAGAAATAGGCAAAAAGCAGGGGGAGGAGAACCCAATGGGCTATTTTTAGTATTTAATCTTTTTTTTACAGTCTATTTCAGGAGCCGTGGATATGCTGATACACCTGGATGGGGGCAGAAAGTGCTTTGGAGAGCCCCGAGGAGCAGGTTTGAGCCTAAAGCTGCAGGTGTCCGTGGTTCCGGCTTTTGCTCGGAAGCTTCAGGCTGGGTGGAAGGAAAAAGGCGTTTCCTTCCTTCTGATTGGAAAGCGAGCCCAGTCGCGCGAGAACTTTCAGGAGATGGGGGGTCTAACACAGTCACCTTCCCCCTGGGGCTGGACCCTCCCTCCAGTTGGAGTCTACCTGGCTCTCGGCCACTTGGTGAGGGTCAGTGGAGGGCTCTGCTCCACAGGGTTTCGGGGAGCTTTTTCAGAACTACATCACCTGGCCTTTCTGCCGAGGCACCTGTGGACAGGACTCATCCTCCAGCCTGTAGGTGCAGGGGCGCCCTCCTAACCCACCCCCACCCCCCATCCCCCCCAGTTTCTGGGAATAGAGAGCCCGATCTTTCTCTCATGGAGCAGCTAGTGGTTTCGAACTTCCAGTCTTGCAGTTGGCAGCCCAACAGGCAACCACTACGCCACTAGGGCCTCTCTGGTGACCAAAGGGACCGCCGACCTTGGGGTTTAGCAGCCCAATGCTGAACGCACTGTATTGCCTGGGCTCTCTCACCTAAGTGGTGCTTCAACGTTTTCCTCTGCCTCAAAAGAAGAGTGTTTAACGGGGTAGGGTTTAAAGATGAACTCACAATCCTGAACCCCTCCCCGGGAGGGAAATAGGACCTGGAGCTGGGAGAAAGGCCCCGAAGGGCACTGTTGTTGTCCCGTTTGAACTTTGAACCTTGTGAATGTGTAACCTATTCAAAAATAAAATTTCTTTCTGAAGAAAGAGCAATGTGACCAGGATTCAGGAGTGTGATCTTGGGCCCGCATCACATACATCGATTTCTCTTTCTGCGTGTGGGTGGCTGGAGCGATGCCTTGAGGTGCTAATCATCAGTTCATCAGTTCAAACTCACCAGCTACTCCTCGGGAGAAAGAGGAGGCTGTCTAGTCCTGTCGAGATGTAAACTCTTAGAAACCCAGAGGGGCAGTTCTACCCTGTCCTATTGGGTCACTATGAGTTAGAATCCACTCCGTGGCCGTGGTTTGGTTTGTTCATGTTGGTGGAAACGTGCTGTGTTCCAGTCATTCTGCTACAAAAGAACCTCCCTCCTCTGAATCTAGCTAGAACGTGTCTATCCTATTTAAGATACTTTTTGCTTGCTGAATTATTTATCAGTCATGTCTACGGATGCTTCGTTGCATTCATAAGAATTTCCATTTTCCTGGGAGAAGCACAAGGCACAGAGGAATAGCTAAGAGTATGTCCAAGTCCACCTTCCCCGGAGTCTCAGCCACAGAAGTAACTGGAAGTTAAAGTGACACTTTCCCAGGTAACCCTGGCAGGGGCTCGGTCTTTCTCAAGCTTCCTGTGCCTGGGATGCTCTTCTCTTGGAGCTCAGCTACCAGATCCTCCTGCCAGGCAGGCCTCGACTCAAACGTCAGCTCCGTTAAAGGAGGCCTTCAATCACTAGGCGTCCCAGCCCAAGGAGCTTCCCGCTCGTGTCCTATCACTTGTTCCATTTCCAAAAGGAGCCTCCGTGGCAGAGTTGGCTACGTGTTGGGCTGCCAACTTCAAGGTCTGCAGTTTGAACTGGCCCGCCACGCTGTAGGCAAAAGACAAAACTATCTACCTGCATGAAGACTTAGTCTCCAGACACCCTCAGGAGCGGCACTACTCTGCCTTATCGGATCGCTAGGAGTCGGAATCTACTCGATGGCATTGGGTTTGGATTTTGGTCTGGGTGGGTGAGAACTCACGGCCATTGAGTCGATGCTGACTCGTAGCGACCCTCCAGGACAGGGGTGTGTGGGGTTGGGAGATTTTAACTCTTTACAGGGTAGAAAGCTGTCCCCCCTTGAAGCTGCTGGTGCTTCCAAACTGCTGACCTTAGAGATGACAGCCCAATGCGTAACCACTACCCCAGCAAGGCTCCTGGTCTGGGTGGTCAAGACCATGCGTGCACTTGGCTGCTAATGGAAAGGTCGGAAGTCGGAGTCCACCTGGAGGTGTGTTGGAAGAAAGGCCTGGCGATCTGAAAAAGCAGTCACTGAGAAACCTGATGAGCCACAGTTCTACTCGGAAACACGTGTGTTCCTCGTGATTCCGAGGTGGCCCCAGAGAAAATGCTATTTCCTTTGTAAGCTTTTTCATCATCTTGTCTCATCCTGTTCCTTGATCACTCATTGTTCATTCATGTGTTTATTGACATGCGTGTTGTCCAAGTCCATCCCTCCCACCCCTCATGAGCATCGAAATGAAAGACCGGATGAAGCCAGTTCCAGGAGAACAGGGACACTGTCATACGCTCACACTTAGAATCACATTAGCCCAACTCATTAATTACAAATCACAGAGTCACAGTTCTCAGTCTCCTAAGAGGAAAACAGACTGTTCATGCCGTTCATGTCTCAGAAACAGAAGCCTGGCATATGGCAAATCTCACACTAATTTAGAAACCCAATGGGCCATGTATCCTAGTATTTAGTGTGACATTATGGTTGCCCTTTGTGTTACAACATATATTCAAAAACATCTGGTTTGTGAAAGGCTGCAGTCTAAAGCAAGAGTCTTAACTCCGTCTTGACAGAAGTGCAGATACCACTTGAGTTCTTTCCAACCATTAAACAAGCCATGAGGCTAAAGCTTAGACAAATCTGGGGCAAACCCAGGGAGGGACCGTTTGCCCTTAGGATTACAGGGAGATTTGGAGGTTAGTTGTGGCCTTCCAGATTTACCAAAAATATTGCCATATTACCTAGTTTATGTTAAAAATCAGGGTCTTGGTGACCATGTCTCCTGCCCTGACCACCACCCAGAACAGCAATTCTCAACCTTGGAGGTCGACCAACCCCGAGTCATCACAGTAGCAAAATGACAGTTATGAAGTAACAACGAAAATAATTTTATGGCTGGGTGGGGGGCAGGTCACCACAGCATGAGGAACTGTATTGAAAGGTCAAGGCATTAGGAAGGTTGAGAACCACTGACCTAGAATTCCCAGAACCCATCAGTAGCTTTTCTTAGCCTGACATTGTGTACGTATCCCCATCACGGTCCTTTCCCCACCTCTGATCTTGAGGGGATTTCTTTGATTTGCTACGAGGTGGGGGTGAGGTTTCAAAAGGTTCACGGAAAAACAGAATTATTGGATAATGGAATTTTTCCACAAAGTTTTTTGAAGCAACCCTGTGCATATGAGCCCCATGGCCACACGTTTCATGGTGCTGGTGAAGAACATTGAAAATACCGTGGCTGTCGAACGAACGAACAGATCTGTCTTAGAAGAGTAGCCAGAAGGCTCTGAAGAAGAAAGGATGGGTGAGACTTCTTTGGGGAGGCCAGTCCCCGCAGAAGAAACTCATGCTTGGAAAAGTAGAAGGGCAACGGAAAAGAGGAAGCCCTTGATGAAATGGATTGACATGGTGGCTAGAACCATGGACTTTAAGCCTAACCATACTTGTGAGGGTGGCACAGGGTGTAGTATTAAATTAAAATTGGCATGGAGGAGTGGGGTGCCAACCCCCACCCGCTGCTACTAATATTACTACTACTTGGATTCAGTAATGCACAATTGTACGGTTGAGATATATAAGCATTATATTAAAGTCATCAAGCGCATAAGAGATAATACAATAATACAGTCAGGCTTGTTACATGGTACCATTGCTCACCTCAGCCCAGCTTGGTGGTCCACGTGGAGAGAGGGGGAAGGGAAGGAGGGTAAGGGAACAAGGGAGGGGAGTAACCAGGGAGTGAGCAGCAAGGAGCTCAGAGTCAGAGAGAGTGCTATATTGCTGACTCACACCTATATACCTTTTGGGGGCATGCCAGCCCACTAATTACAGGTAGAGACATACGTCACAGGGAGGAGTTGCACTATAGGTTACACAGCAATGAGAGGGTGGTCTAGGGGGTGGTCTCTGGGTCTCCATAGGAACATTATCAGTAGGGTGAAAACTCCGCCTACAGGAGCCTGTCCATTGTCCCCAGAGGCAGGGAGTAGGCCCACACCCGTGGTGGGATGAGACAGCAGTCTGGCAACTGATTGCCTTCAGGGGAGGGAATGCCTGCGCATCTGACCTTCCCCCACAACAGGGCTGGACTGCGATTCCATGAGTCAGAGCAAACTTGACAGCACCCACCAACAGCAACAACAGGGCAACTTGAGTCAGCAGATTCCATTCAGCTTCGGCACTGAGGGGCTGTTGACGGCTCCCCAGGTAGGACAATTGTTTGTTTTGCCTTTGTCCTGTCTAAACCTTAATAAAAGGATCTCCTGGGGTGTGGGGGGAGCTAACAGTAGTGAGTACAAGAATGAAGAAAATGTCCTGAAATTGATTGTAGGGATGATTACATAACTCTAATGGTGCCTGGCTATCAAAAGATATAGTGTCTGGGTTCTTAAAGGCTTGAAGGCAAACAAACAGCCATCTAGCTCAGAAGCAACAAAGCCCACATGGACGAAGCACACCAGCCTGTGTGATCACGAGGTGCAGAAGGGATCAGATATCAGGCATCAAAGAACAAAAAAATCATATCATTGTGTGCTCACCTCCCCATACAATCGCTGAAGACAAATGGGTGCATAAGCAAATGTGGTGAAGAAAGCTGATAGTGCCGAGCTATCAAAAGATATAGCGTCTGGGGTCTTAAAGGCTTGAATATAAACAAGTGGCCATCTA